TGATCACTTACCCGGGCAGATCTCTCCATGGTGTAGGCCAACCCAGAGTGAACAATGTCCTTCTCAGAGGCACCCTGCGAAGGAAGGTGAATGTTAATGACAGCTAATTTGATAACATATATAAAGTGAGTAGGTGGGCGATGCTGAGAGCTTTTGTCAGTGTCAGACTTTAGAGTGTGAGCCAAGTACGTAGCAATGCAGACTCGATATAAATAAACTCCCAATAAAAGTAGGGAAAAAAAATCATTCATTCAGTTTTGACCAGCACTAATCTGATGTTACTCACAGCCACTCTGGCCTGGAAGTCAGCGGTGGGTACGATGGGAATGGGCCCTCCCTGCTTCCCAAACTTCCTCTCTAAACTTTCCTACACAGACACTAGAAGGGAAAAGAGAAGAAAAGTGGAAATTAAAGAGACATCAAAGACATCTGTTGTTTCTGGACCAAGACAAATACCAGCCATCTATCTAACAATGCACGATGTCTGTGTGTGTCTGTCTGTCCAGCCGTTTCTCAATATGTGTTCTTGTGTGGACTTGTGACACGTCATCAGTCACAGCCCAAGTACTGTTCCAATTCAAAGCTGACATCTAGCCAAGTTCAGTCCAAATTCCTGGATGTGTTCTTGCCACACCCCTTTCACCGGGGATGCATCGGAGCAGACTTGTGTGGACTTCAGACAGCCAGGTATCCCAGCATGCATTTCGCAACAATCATCAGAAATGCCAAGTGAGGGAAAGACGCACAATTGTAAGTCGTAATTACCGATATGTTACTGTTTTGTCAGGGAACGTAGTGTTAACATGCGTAGTTTAAATGTCAGACCCGTGGTCGATGTATTAATATAGAGCCTGCTTGAATGTGAGGTCCCGCTAGATGACAGCGGTGTCAGCGCTCATAGATAATGTGTGTATGAGCGCTCAGGCTGCCCCACAGAGTGCAGCCTCTCTCAGGTAGTCCTTTTAAATTCGTGGCTGATATCTCTGTAGTGGTTAAATATGAAATGTAATTTGTTTGGGGAATGTCTAATGAGCAACATTCAGTCTCAGTATAAGATATATTCTTATATTATTAAATGTTGTAACATTGTTAATTGTTGTTCTTTGTTTGTATTCTTTTGCTTATTTATGTGTTTTTACCATTCAATAATTTATTTATTGTATTTAAAGATTAATTGTATTTATTGTAGTATTTATTCAACAGCATTTTAAATATTGATTATCTGATATGAATTGTATACCTGAAGTGGGGCTGAGTAAAGTTTTCCTCTGAACATCTGACCTGTTTGATCCCATTTATATTGGTGAGGGCAGACTAAATGACAAACTGCTGTCAGTGTAATCCAGTACAGTTCAACAGCACCACAATCTACAACTCAACACTTCAATATAATGTTAGACTGAATATTAAACTGCTTTTGTTTTTTCTAGGTGTACCAAGTANGTTTTATTCATTTTTTTAATCACACCGAAGCAGAAGGCACATTTCACTGGAGGGGATGCCAGGTGCTGGGACCGTGTCACTGGCATGTATTCTGGGAGTGTCCAGTGATCAGACCTCTCTGGACAGAATTTCACAAAGCACTAAAAAAGATACTTAACTCTGATCTTCCTTTGCAATTTTTGACATTAATTTTAGGATGTATGGATTTTAAGGCCAAGCGTTCTGACAAATATATGTTTGGTGTTTTGCTATCAGCTTGCAAGAAAGCCCTCACAAGGTGCTGGTTGCTTCATGAACCCTGCACAATAGAGGAGTGGACAGATATTGTAAATGATATTTATGTTATGGAAAAGATTACCTTTTTCACTTCATCTTCAGAAGAATATGTTCATTAAATTCTGGGCAAAGTGGGTGATATACGTACGGCCCTTATGACTTGATCTTGTGGAGGTATCATACAAAAGACCCTGTGATGTTTAGTCAAGCAAACCTCATTGACTACTATTCTATTTTTTTTTTGTCTCTTTAATCCCTCCTCTATAAACTAATGTGTCATTTAAAAATACACTAGCAGCCTTGTCAGGTCAATGTCATCAATCTGTTTGATCATCTGCTTAAAAAAATCCAGTAATATGTCCTGTTGTGACTAGGGGTGAGTTCGTGTACAAAAATCTCTAAACGTTTAGAGTGGGTAATTTTTTTCGTGTAAACATGTACACGGGTTTCACCGCTGGGTGATGCTATTGCTTTATACCAGTAAAGCCCCAGTTATCTGAATACCAACCGAATGGCCCCTTTTAACCAATGCGCCGTTTTAATAGCATGGAGCACACAGGCTACTGGGGCGTCGTTCGCCATTCCAAAGGGTCAACATTCCAAAAATTCATTTCCATTAATCTGAGTGGGGGCCCTTCCTCTTTTTTTCAGGGTCTGCCATTCTGAATTCTGTTCCCTGAGTCCTGACAGTAGCCGTATTTCCCATGTATTTCAGCGATTTTCACCGGGACGCACACGAGTAATTCAGGCAGACAATTTTTCAGCGAACTCCTCTGGTAATTTTATTAAAAAGCAGGGCATATAGGTCCACAGTAACTTATTATTATCATTATCATTATTATTATTATTATTATTATTATCATTATTATTATACGTAAAAGCGCACACAATTCCGTGTCTTCTCACCGCGGATGCTGTGATTTGATGATCCGGTACTCATTGTGGCCCACTCTTATAAGACCCAATAATAATAATAATAAGATATTGTGGACCTATATGCCAAGCTTTCTAATACAATTACCAGAGGAGTTTGCTGAAAAACAGGTAGCCTAATGTCAGCCTGAATTATTTGCGTGTGTCCCCGGTGAAAACTGCTGACATGCATGGGAAATACGGCTTCTACAGGCTCACCATAGCTTACTGTCAGGACTCAGGGACCAGAATTCAGGATGGCGGACCGTCGGAATGGCGGTATTTCGGAGTGGCGGCCTGTAACCAGGCTACTGACCNTGCTTACATGTAGCCTACGTTGATCAATTAATACTCAATACATATTCATGTATATGATGATCACAACACTTGAAATTGGGTCACTCTGCATAATGAGTACTTTGAACTTTTAATTTTAAGTAGTCCTACATTTTGCTGACAATACCCAGATACTTTTACTCCAGTCAGATTTGCAGCACTTTTACTTGTGACTGAGTTTTTGTTCATTGTTGTGATATTACTACTTGTTCTGGGTACTTTGTTCACAACTGGACAAACATCAAACAATAGAGACATGCAAGCATCGCACGTCTCATCCTCCGCCTCATTCTCTGCTGTCTTTCTGGGATCTGCCTCCTCAGCTGGGCAGCCTCCTCCTCAGCCTGCAGGTACAGCAGTCCTGCTGCAATAACTGCACCAAGATGCCTTCTCCGATCCATGTCAGTCATTGATTTAACTCGCCAATGCTCACACTTACAATAACCACCAACTCTCCTCAAACTTTCCCCCTGCACCTGACTTTTGATCACACATAATCAGAAGCCAGGTGCGGGAATTGGATATATAGACTAAATATGATCAAAAGCCAGCTGCGGGGAAAAGGTTTTATAAGACAATTTAAGAAAATATTTTGGATATTTATACGTTTTTGTGTGTCAGTTATATATGTTGAAACGTTAAAAACATATACATATTAATTTCTTACAATGACAATTAAGAAGAAGGAGAGGGTGTTTGCGCTCTTGCTACAAGTCCAAAGAAAAACTCACATCAGGTGCGTAGGCAAAAAATGTCAAGAAGACACCAGGAAATGCTCNCACTGGATGTGTCGTGCCGTTTATCAGTAGCATGTCAGTTTGTAAGATATAATGGTTCTTTTTTTGTTTTAAAACAGATGGCTGCTGGCCGTATCGCTCGTGCTTTTGACTACGGGAGAACAAGGGACAGGGCAGCATTCAGAGAAAAAACACTGCGTGTCAATCAAGACACTCTGTATTATCATACAGGTGCTGATGGTCAAACATGCAGCCTCATGTATTTCAGCACACGTTTAATAGAATGGCTGGATACACTGAAGCAACAATACCCTGAACTTCAGGAAACTCAACAGGATGGTAAAATCATCCTTCAGTCCAAGGAAGGTGAAAGTACCATAACTTTAGATCCGAGTGTAAAGGTTCTGGTACATGGCAAAGTACTGATGAAGAAGTTTGAGGACGATTTTCCACAAATGGCACAAGCGGTCAGGCCAGGTATAGATAGTACTGGTAATGAAAGTCACCCTTTTACATACCCTGAAGACCGCAAACTCAACAACAATGAGAAGGAGAAGCACAGAAAGGAAATACTGCATGAAAATGAAGACACTCTCTTTTATGACACAAAGGCTACTGGTGACAAATCCGACCTCATTTTCTCTAGCAAACGTGTACTACAATGGCTGGATGAAATGGAGAGAAAGTATCCTGACCTTCAGAAAAAAAAGCAGGACAATATGATCATACTCAAGAATGAGACCCAGCCAGGTACCATAAGGTTACATCCTGAGGTAAAAGTTGTGGTAGAAGGCAAGCTAATGGAGAGGTTTGAGAGAGATTTTCCACAACCAGCTGACTTATCAGCAGCAATGGAAGGGTTAACCTTAAACAATAAGGAATAACATCCTTATGAGTCAGAGGGTGAGGGCACTCTTGACACACCACCCAACCCAACCACCGGAAGGGAAAGAATGCCTGATGAATAAGGAGAAGTGAAGTGAGAAGTGTTTTCTGACTTGTATTTAGTTTGTAAGGCAGGGTTTCTCCTGGGTTGTGTGTGAGTTTTATTTTGCAGTTTTTCAGTTTATAGCAATATAGATGCCTTGACAAGGCGACTTAATAGCGTATGGGGAGATTCTTATAAACATTGGTGCTCATACATACAAGGGAAATTTGTTTTGGTGTTTATATATTGTTTCAGAATGTGTCACAGAAATGTCACGATAATGTGTCTTCTGATTGTGTTGTATGACCTCAGCACACTCTGGTCTGTCTGCAGGTTATAGAGGAAACAAAGAGCAGCCTTGTACTCACTGAGCAGGTGGTAGTTTGAGTCCCTCTCATATTTGAAGGTCAGTCTTCCATAGCTGACATGGTTGAGATTCTTCAGCCACTCGAAATAAGACACTGTCACACCGCCAGCATTCAGGTACATGTCCTGCAGGATGAAACATCACAAACTCATCAGACCTCTGGCTGTTTGATCTCTACCCTCTCTGTGTGTGGAAGATTATCTTTGATTTAAAATGTCCTCTGTATTGTTTTTAAGATCTGATTTGNGGTGTATAACATCTCAAGGGTTTCACCCATCACCACGCAACTTTGTAGGCATATGACCACACATAATCTGAGGGGACCCCTCCATTATTGACCCCATCAAACAAAATGGGGGCGCTAGAGAGCTAATTTCTTATCTAGGCCTAACCGCCACATTGATTTTTACTAAACTTGGTAGATATGTAGAACAGGACGTCTCAAGGTGACTGGAGAAATTTAACTCTAATTGGCAACTGGGTGGCGCTATAACAACAGAAAAATGCTTAGAAATGGTTAAAATCGACCGATCGCTGTGGCTCCCCCTGTGGACCAATGTTTGTTTGTTTTTTTTCTAATTTATGTATGACTAAGTCATGGTATGGTATGCTGTACTCAATGGGTATGGACTAGTTTATCTTATTTACACAAGGGCATGTCATTTCTGTCTCTACATGGTGGCACGTTTACAGTTCTCTGCTCTCTGTATCACGCACGGCGGAGTTCGGCCCCGGTGCGTGTGCGCGAGCGCACACACACACACACACACAGACACATGCACGCAAACAAACACACACAGGTGAGCGCACTAGAGGGCATAAAACATTTTTTTTAAAAAGGACTCGGCAACGGTGGAGTGAGATTTCTTAAACGGGCGTGAGAGAGTGACATTGATGGTGAAAGCATGACAGTCACGCCAGATGCGTGAGAGTTGGCAACCCTGTCAATGAGTCATATAAATGTTGTGATTTATGAGTAAGTGAAGAGAAATGCAGTTCAAAACCAGTCCAGCTGCTCACAGTGACCTTTGACCACCCAAAATACAATCAGTTCATTGTTGAGTTCAAGTGAATGTTTGTGCTAAATTTGTGATGTCGCGTTCACGAGAGTGAGACGGATGCAAAATCCCAGTGACCCTGAGTCCAGTGCTGATATTGTGGTGAAGTGGCACCAATAAATGACTGTGTGGGAAATCCCAATTTATGAAAGCTTATATCAGCAACCACAGCTTGTACTGAAACAACTGGAAAACCTTCCTACAGCTAAAGATTTTCACCCAGGCAGATTTGTTATACTATGGGTAGGTTAGACTTCATAACGCCTGTATCTGATTGTAAATCCTGATGTGAGGTTTGCTTTGTGGCTTCAGGAAGCAGCTGTAGAGCCGGAGTATCTGCCGTCCTGCTGAGAAATCCAGAGCATCACAACGCCCAGAGAAATACAAGGTATAACACCACAGAAGAGTGGGCACTGAATGTGTTGTGCCGTTTATCAGTAGCATGTCAATTTGTAAGATATAATGGTTCTTTTTTTGTTTTAAAACAGATGGCTGCTGGCCATATCGATCAACCTTTTGAACACACAGGCAAAGAGGACGGGGCAGCATTCAGAGACAAAACACTGCGTAGCAAAAAAGACACTCTGTTTTATGATACAGGTGCTGATGGTCAAACATGCAGCCTCATGTATTTCAGCACACGTTTAACAGAATGGTTGGATACACTGAAGCAACAATACCCTGAACTTCAGGAAACTCAACAGGATGGTAAAATCATCCTTCAGTCCAAGGAAGGTATCATAACTTTAGATCCGAGTGTAAAGGCTGTGGTACAAGGCAAAGTACTGATGGAGAGGTTTGAGGACCATTTTCAAAATATGAAACAAACGGTCCGGCCAGGTATACATAGTACTGGTAATAGAGCTCACCTTTTTATGTACCCTGAGGGACTCAAGGGCAAAAAGAAGAAAATGTACAAAAATAAAAAACTGCGTGAAAGGGAAGACACTCTCTTTTATGACACAAAGGCTACTGGTGCCAAATGCAACCTCATTTTCTTTAGCAAACATGTACCAGAATGGCTGGATGAAATGGAGAGAACATATCCTGAACTTCAGAAAACAACACAGGATGATCTTATCAAACTCAGGTCCAGGTACAAGTCCAAAAAAGGTACTATATGTTTATATCCTAATGTAAAAGTTGTGGTAGAAGGCAAGCTAATGAAGAGGTTTGAGAGAGATTTTCCACAAATGAGACAAACGGCCCAATCAACTGACTTATCAGCAGCAATGGGAAGGTTAACCTTAAACAATGAGGAATAACATCCTGATGAGCAAGAGGGTGAGGGCACACTTGACACACCACCCAACCCAGCCAACTGAAGAGAAAGAATGCCTGATGAATAAGGAGAGAAACTAGAATTACCGCCACGCTGTTGTTTGCCTCTGCGCACCAGTCAAGTTTCTCTTACAGTGAAAACACGAATGCTTTATAACCACTGTCCCCACAAAGGCATAAAAACACAGAATAAAACACTGTAAATAGCTGATTCTTAAAGCTTTATCCTACTACTTTATTTTAGGAATATGTAATTGGGTTGTAAAATCTATTACATATTGTTTTCTGATTTGTATTTAGTTTGTAAGGCACGGTTTCCCCTGGGTTGTGTGTGAGTTTTATTTTGCAGTTTTTCAGTTTATAGCAATATAGATGCCTTGACATGGCGACTTAATAGCGTATGGGGAGATTCTTATAAACATTGGTGCTCATACATACAGGGGAAATTTGTTTTGGTGTTTATATATTGTTTCAGAATGTGTCACAGAAATGTCACGATAATGTATCTTCTGATTGTGTTGTATGACCTCAGCACACTCTGGTCTGTCTGCAGGTTATAGAGGAAACAAAGAGCAGCCTTGTACTCACTGAGCAGGTGGTAGTTTGAGTCCCTCTCATATTTGAAGGTCAGTCTTCCATAGCTGACATGGTTGAGATTCTTCAGCCACTCGAAATAAGACACTGTCACACCGCCAGCATTCAGGTACATGTCCTGCAGGATGAAACATCACAAACTCATCAGACCTCTGGCTGTTTGATCTCTACCCTCTCTGTGTGTGGAAGATTATCTTTGATTTAAAATGTCCTCTGTATTGTTTTTAAGATCTGATTTG